ATCATTGCGATCAAAAGTTCATTTTATCCTCTATCTCATGAGCATGCCTCCAGCTGCCTTTCAACTGGCAAACTACAAGACTCTGCTTAAATGTCCTTGAAATCTGCGGGGTAACAGGTCTGCCTTTGTTTAAGACTCCTTATTCCATGCCCTGTAGCCAACCTGAGACCTCACATCTTTATATCAAAAGTCTCCAACATCTAGCATGGTTTCCTAATGTGAATCAGATTATGACTCTTTCAGAAGTTCTCCAGTGGAATCAGATAACAATTCCTAGCAGGGCCTACATGGCTCTGGAGTGATCTAGTCCTTCTCTCTCTTTAAATTTACTTTATACCACACTTCCCCTTATTCACTATCACTATGCTAGCCACCTGGCAAGGTTTTTTCCTACCTGATGGTCCCTGCATATTTTTCACTTTTAACCTGCAAAGATCTTCCCTGACTAACCTTCTCCCCACCAATCTAAATTAGCTTACTTTCTTAATTAACTTTTTTATGACCTCTTCATAGTACTCCTCACCAGTTATCGTGGTATATAAGAAATAATGTTCATATTTATCTACTTGTATTTATGTCTGGCTACTCTCTGCCTTCTCCAGTTGGCACCAATCTCTATGAGAAAAGAACAGTGTTTTGCTATATCACCAGCAACTAGCACAATGCTTAAAGGGAAAAACCATTTTAAGTGAATATACGTACCTGCACTAAGGACTTACCAGCAAGCGTGGTAACAGAAGTTAGTGTTAATAAACTTTTAAAATGATATGAGAATTAAGTATCAGACACATCTATATGAAATTATACATACACATATATACATATGATAAATTGGTGATACAGTGTAGTGAAAGGAGCACTGGCTGGAGAGAGCAGTGACTCATTCATTTCTTGGTTACCTAGTAAATATTCCTTCCTGTTAGCCTTATCAATGAATGACTCAGTAGGTATATTACTGCCCCCTAGTGGCAGCTACTCTGAGCGCTACTACTGCCCTTTGGAGAGCAGAGGTCAGGTAGATTTTCAGCAAAACCTGCGACTGTTTAATTGATAAATTATTTTGTGTCCCTTGCTACTTTTTTTAAAAAAAGATTTATTTATTTATGCATACAAGAACTGGGGTACAGGCCAGAGGTTTGAGGGGTGAGAGGATTCACTGGAGACAGTGGAGAACAGAACAGGCAGACTGACTGAAATACATTCCTGAGGGGAGCAGCGGGCGAGACAAGGAGAGGTCTGCTGCGCCATGAGGGTAGCTCCCTGGTTGGCTGGAGATCGAACTTGTGCTGCAGTGGCTGCAGACAGCTTCACAGGTGCGTCTTAAACCCTTGCACCACCAGGGAGGCCCCCTTGCAACTTTCATTATTTATTTATTTATTTATTTGTTTGTTTGTTTGTTTGGTGGGACCCTCGCCAGTGGCCGGGGATCGAACTGGTGCTGCAGAGGCTGTGGGCAGCCTTGCAACCCAGCGCTCAACTGCTGTGCCACCAGGGGCGGCCCCCTTGCAACTTTTTTTTTTTTTTTTAATAGAGGCATGTTTTATTTATTTATTTGTTTGTTTGTTTGTTTCTTTTTTTTATACATGCACTGGGTACAGTCAGAAGCGCGAGAGGGTGAGAGAATTCACCAGAGCCAGAGCAGGGAGCAGAGCAGGCAGAAGGACCGAGGTACACTGCTGAGGGGAGCAGCGGGTGGCAGGAGAGGTCTGCGCGCCATGTGGGACCCTCCTCCGGTGGCCGCGGAGCAGCCGGGGATCGAACCGGCACCTCAGAGGCACGGGCTGCTTCACAACCCAGCGCTCAACCGCTGCGCCACCGGGGAGTCCCCCCCTTGCAACTTTTAAATGCTGCATTATATATAGTGAAACACCCGTATACAATGATTTGTACCTAGAATCTATTTTACCTGTGAACACAAGCTGTGTTTTATTTTTACATTTCTACAGTGAATGTTTTAGGAAAGCATCTTCAGTGGACAGATGAATGTGTCCATTAGACATGGCCAAAACACCACACCTCTGTCAGCTGGTGTTTGTAGCGTTCACATTCATGTGGATTTGACTTATAAGTGCCAGCAAGTAAGTATTTGATTATATTTTCTTGAATAGTCATATTTAAGCATTTATATATTTAAATACAAACTACTATAAATTACTTTCTTTGTACTTTTTCTAAGTCAGGCATTATAAACACAAACAAAATAATGGATGTGGGTAGGCTATATTACCTACAGATCCATTTTAGGTTATTAAAATAGACACTATGAAATATTTATTTTAAAAAGGAGAGTTGGTAGTGTACGGTTGCAAACCGCTGAAATAGATGACGCTTAAGGGAGGGAAGTATAAAAAATAAATGCTTAAGGTCCCATCTAATTCTTAATGTATTGGTTCTAATCTTTAATAATGGAAAGGATTTTTTTATTACTTTGTTTATATTCTACTATAAAATTGGTGATATACAATAAAACAAAATTTTAGATTCAGTGAAAAATATTTTCAGAGGGAAGGGGGAGAGGGGAAAAGGGATAGGGCATTTGCAGGGTTTGGTGGAGGGTGAGTGAAGCATGTGCATATATAGTGGTGTGACAAGTATACCCCTCTAATGATAGTTATGCAGATGACTAACTAAAAACTGAGGGGAAAAACCAAAAATTGGTGATATATACAAGAAAACCAAACACATTTAAAAAAAATAACATGTGGGGGGGCCTCCCCTGGTTGAATGCAGCGCTGTGAAGCTGTCCACAGCCTCTGCAGTGCCGGTTTGATCCTGGCTGACCAGGGAGATACCCACATGGCACGGCAGACCTCTCCTTTCTCGCCCACTGGTCCCCTCAGCAGTGTATTTCACTCTGCCTGTTCTGTTCCCCGCTCTGTCTCTGGTGAATCCTCTCACCCTCCTGCACACCTGGCCTATAGCCCGGTTCTTGTATGCATGAATTAAATAAATCTTAAAAAAAAAAATACATGTTGGGGCCTCCCTGGTGGCACAAGGGATTAGGACACAACCTATGAAGCTATCCTCAGCCTCCGCAGCGCAAGTTCAATCCCCAGCTGGCCAGTGAGCTACCCACATGGCGCAGCAGACCTCTCCTGACTTGCCTGCTGCTCCCTTCAGCATTGTACCTCGGTCAATCTGCCTGTTCTGTTCCCAACTCTGTCTCAGGTGAATCCTCTCACCGCACCCCCCACACCTCTGGCCTGTACCCCAGCTCTTGTATGCATAAATAAAAAAATCTTTAAAAAAATATATGTCTGTGGAATATATACTCAATGGAATGGTACACAGCTGTGAAAAAGATGGGATAGTGGCATTTGGAACAAAATGGATGGACCTTGAGGTGAATATGTTAAGTTAAATAAGTGAAAAACTGATATGGTTTCACTCATTTATGGAAATAACAAAAAAACAATACACAAGCAAAATACAGTAAGAATAAATCTTGAAATCAGTGAAAGAATATAATGGTAGCCAGAGGGAAGGGCTGGGCAGGAAGGAGAGTGTGGGAGGCAGGCAGAGGGGTATGGGCATGGGTGGTTTCGTGGAGGGTGAGTGGAACATGTGCATATATGGAGGAGCAAAAATGTAACCCCCAGAATTAAAAAAAAAATAAGCATGTCAGCTATTCGAATGTTCCAACACTTGTTAGCTAAAGCTGACTCCACGATTTCCCAAGTTTCCTTACTCAGTAATCATTACATGCTTCTGTCATTTCAACTTCATGATACATTGTGAGTTTATTACATATTTAAAATTCTCACCAAATAATTGTCTCTAGGCTTGAGAACGAAGAAACTAAAACACAGAGAACTACGAATGTATTAGGGAAAAAAAGATGAAATGAAAGCTTCTCACTATGAGATTCACAGATTTAAAACGCAACCCACTTTCCTATGCCCCTTCCCTGTTCTAAGTTCGCAACCTCTTCAAGTCCCCTTCCCTGTTAATTTTAAGTTCTTTCCTTATCAGTTACGACATACTCTGCATTTTAACCATATATATTAAAAGTCGTCTTCTCTTCTTTCCCTCTTACCCTGGTTCACTGAATACACGAATTCTGAGAATATGAATTTTGCCTTTTTCCACCGAGGCATCCCTATGTACAAGCAGTACCGGGCACCCAGGGACTCCAAGACTATTTGTTGTGTGAATGCCTGAATATCGCAATAAAGGAAAACGAGAGCTTGGAGCGCGGCTTCCACCAGAGTTCTAGGCAGCAAGCAGGGGGGAGGGACCAGGACACTGATTTTCTGGATGGAGGCGCCCTCGGCGCTCGTGGGGATCAGGCACATGTTTATGTTCTCTGGGCTGAGCTGACAGTGCGCAGTTGTGAATTTCATGCACAGAGTGTGCAGGCCGGGCACCCCTCTAACACTAACCTGCACCTAAGTCTGCATAATGTTCCATTTCCAGCCTCAGAAACACGTTTTTGTAAGTGCACAGCTCGCCCAGGCCAAGCTGGGGTATTATTCCACCTGAGCCTGCTGGTGAGAATGGGCTGCAGGGTAGTGGCCCCCAAATGCATGCACACGGGAAAAGAGGAAGCGCCCGCTTTCCGCACACAGCCGCCCCTGCAGCGCCAGGTCTCCCCGCGATCAAATCCCGCGCTGCTCCCCGCCCCACCTGCCTCGACCCCGCCCCCGAGGCACCCCCCCGTAGGCGGGGCCGCAGAGCCGGCCCGGCTCCCTCCAAATCAGTGAAGCGCGCCCCGAGTTTTAGCATCGCACCCTTCAGCCAACACCGAGGAAACGCAGCCCCTCCCGAAGCCCGCCGACCCCACGGCAGCGCAGCAGCACACGCGGGCCGAGCAGAAGCAAAACAGCAGCAGCCCCCGAAGCAGACACGTGAGCCGGGCGAGCGCGGCCGCCTGCGCAGCGAGAACTTCAACTCCCAGCGTGCCGCTGGGCGGTTGCCCTCGGAGGACTACAACTCCCAGGGTGCTGCGGGGGCGGCCGCTCGCCGCTCCTCCCGCCCCTCCCCCGCCCCTCCCGGCCGGATCGGCGTGCGCCTGCGCACCGGAGGCCGGAGGAGTCTTACCCTAATGTAAGATGGTGGCCCGTCTGGCTGTGGAACCCACCGAAAGCTGAGAGTCTGCCTCTCAGCCGTAAAGGTCGGACTCGCTGAAGCAATCAGGCCCGGTTCTGAAGAGTTTTTTCCCCGACACTCGTTCAGCGGTCTCTGGGGAGGACGCGGCAGCGCGTGGAGGCGGCTGAGGGAAAAGCGAGGCAAGGCAGGCGGGTGAGTCTGTGCGGGGCTGGGCTTAGGGGAAACCCGGGGCTGACCGGCTACGAGAGAGCGGAGGCTTCTCCGGGTCTGTGCAGGCCGCACCCCCCGTCCTCCCCACCCCCCGCCTCATCTTCACCCCCTCCTGCCGGGTCTTCCTCCCCTGCCCTTCCTCCCTCTCCCCTCTACGCCACAGCAGTTACCACCAGGAAAAGGCAGCGGGACGCGGGCGGCGCGGCCACCAGCGCCGGCGCCTTCGAAAACCTCCTCATTGGGGAGCAGAGGCGGCTTCGGGGCTTCTCTCACCCCCCTGCGTCTTTGGAGGGCAGGATTCTGAGGGCTCAGCACGCCCCGTTTCCCGGCCCCGCTCTGACGTGCCTTCCCCTCGGCCCCGGGGCCGCGACCCCAGCCTGCACCCCACCAGCCTGCGCGCCCCCCAATCCCGGCGCGCCTGCCCCGCTCGCCCCGCCGCTGCTCCTGCCCCGCCGCTGCCCCCCTCGAGGCACCCTCGCCCCCCTCTGTGCTTGCACCAGCCCCCAGACTGTCTGCCACCCGGGAGCGGCTTCCGATTAGTAGTCTTTGCCTTCACCACATCTGTCATTTTTCGAGCTGCCCCTGAAGTCTCCAGATGATTGCTCCTCCTCGGGCTCACCCACCTGTTTCTCAGCCTTGCTGGGCATCGTCCTTTGCTGCCCTCTTTCCTGGTACAGAGTCTCGGAATACACACCTCCAGAAAAAGGGATGCCCCGGGTTGGCCCCTGAAAAGTCAAGAAGTTGGGAAGTGAATGAAGGGAGGCAGGAGACTGACTATCACGCGTTGTGAGGAAGGTCGTTTGTTGAGGCTGCTCAGGGGAGGAGTGTTTGCGTTTTGCGTGCAGTCATCTGTTTGTGGATTATTCACTCTGTTGGGACATGGGGTTTTTTTTTTTTCCTTTTTCTTTTTTTTTTTTTGGCGGGGGGGGACCGGTTTTCCCATGCTATTTAGCATTCTTCTGACTTGCCTCTCCCCAGGACACTTTTTTGTGGGCTCTGGTTATACCAACATATATTGGCCTAAGCATTTCAAAATAAGATAAATCTGGCACAAAGAGAATTCACCTGTGACTCCACGCGCAAATATTAATGATATTTTGAATACGTGTAGGTTATGTGTGGGTTACAGATCTTCTTCCCTCTTGAGAACTGATTATTGACTGAGTGAGTTATACTGTTGGTCAGCTTAATTGATGACATATTTTATTTATGGTTTGAGTGGAGATTTCCTCTCCAGCTAATATCAAATTTAGTGTTTTTGGATATGGGAAAGTCTTTTAACATCTCTGGTATGGTAGGTACCTGAATAAATAATCTCTTGAAAACCTATTAGGATGTATGCAAAAGAAATACCAATTTTTTTCCCCCCCAAAACTAAGTCCCTCATTTTTTCCCAACAAAAAGAAGGGGGCTGGGACAAGAAATGACAGAGCTATACACATAGGTGCATTTGGTGGCATTCACTGACATTGTTGATATTAAAGAGCAGAAACTGGGAGCAAGAAGTGCCTTATGATGTCCATGTTTTGGTGAAAGCAAAATTGAAATAGACTGACTAATGACATAATGGGGAGAAGGGGCCTTTGCTATAACCAAACTGCTGTGAAGTAATTACCAGAAAAGCAAACAGGATTACACACTTCAGATACATACATCTCAGGTTTAAGCATAAATAAGACATTGTGTTCTTAGGACATATGTAAAAATGATGTAAAAATGTTAGAAGTCAGTAGCAATCGCATGCAGAAATATATCTCTTATTTGCAAAAGTAATAATATCTCAAATGTAAATGCAAATGCATTCAGTTACTCTTTTAATCACTTTTGCATCTTTCTGTATTATGGTGATTTTTTTTTTTTAAGATTTATTTATTTATTTATACAAGCACTGGGTACAGTCAGAAGTGCAGGGGGGTGAGAGAATTCACCAGAGCCAGAGGGGAGAGCAGAGCAGGCAGACTGACAAAGTACACTGCTGAGGGGAGCAGCGGGTGGCAGAAGAGGTCTGCGCACCATGTGGGACCCTCACCCGGGGATCGAACAGGCGCTGCAGAGGCTGCGGGTAGCTTTGCAGCCCAGTGCTCAACCGATGCGCCACTGGGGAGGCCCTTTATAAAACTTCTTTACTTTCAGTTACTCATGTTCAATTTGGGGAAACTAAATAAATCCCTGCTCTTCTGAGAATTGGAAGCAATTTGTATAGCAAGTCTTGTCATAAGTTTTAACTTAAGGTTTTTAAAAAAAATATTACTTATATTTAGTTTATCAGTAGGTATGTATTTAATTCAACTGATATTCAACTCTAAGTAAAAAATAAACTTCAATTTTCTTTGTACTATCTTGGTAGAGATGCTCTCCACTTTGAACACGCCTGTCACACAGGTCTGGCAGTTACTCTTGGCTAAACTCTTAACAGAGTGTTTTATGTTCTAGGAGAGGACTGTCTGTCTGGCAGAAGAGGGTAAATGATTGTAATATATCTTTTCTTTTGTAAAGATATTTGGCTTACTAAGTATTGTAATTTTCTTCTCTCTATACTTTTTCCTGCAATCAAGTTCAGCCCTCCCTGAAATCAAAAGAAATTGACTTTGGGATCTTTATTTTTAAAAAAAATATTTATTTATTTATGCATACAAGAACTGGGGTACAGGCCAGAGGTGCCGGGCTTGAGGGGATTCACCAGAGACAGAGTGGGGAGCAGAACAGGCAGACAGACCGAAAACACTGCTGAAGGGAGCAGCCGGCGAGACAGGAGAGGTCTGCTGCGCCATGTGGGTTGCTCCCTGGCCGGCTCCGATCAAACTCTTGCTGCAGAGGCTGCAGACAGCTTCACAATGCTGTGCATAACCCATTGCGCCACCAGGGAAGCCCGACTTTGGGATCTTTAGCATTACCTAAAAAGTTACCTAAAGTTCTTTGACATTTTGGTAGGAAATAGGGAGCTGAGATTGCAAAATATTTTTGTTTGGTTTAAATTTTTAGATATAACATTGTGAACATTGCAGCTTCCTATTATTCCCTTTGAGGGTTTTTTTTTTTTAATATAGATTTAGTTTGGAATACTTTTTGCCATGTTCAATAATTGAATTCTCCAAATGAGTTGATTCTATCTATACAAACGTCTTAGAACATGAAATACTTAAAGTTAATATAAATTTGTTTTCATCAAGTTGCATAGACTAATCTTCAGTCTTATTAGGATGAGCTAGTTATAGCCAAATGGCAAAATTCAGGAAAATAAATGTGTTTTGTAATACCCCATAGCTTCAGTCTAAATGGGAGCTCTAGAGGTAACTTACAACTCATTACTTTATAAAACAAAGAGGATATTGCTTAAGGATGTACTCCTTGCCTTAGAGGAGTTTTATTTTAAAAGTGATTTTGTGTGTTAAGAGTGAAAAAAAAATAATCTCAGTGTAAGCATTATGACTTTAGAACTCTTCCCTTTCTTCCCTTTCTTGCTCTAGCTTTTAAATTGAAGCTACACTTTTCATTTTAATGTGTTTTTTTTTGTGTGTGCCTGCAATTAATACTCACTTGAATAGATTTCAACACAATGATATTATTTTTGTAGACCATTCAAGTGGAATAGAAAGTTTTAATTTGTGAAAACCTTCAGCCTTTACTGAAAATTCAGTTAGCTTACTGTCATTTAGTGTAACTGCTGCTAGCTTGGCTGTTTGTTAAGGAAGTTGCATTCAGCTCAGGTGCTTCTGAAGAAAAACAGTAGGGAAATAGGTTAGAGAAGTTTTTGCTGTTCTAGAAATAGTTTAAGTAGAATGTACTACATACTTTTCTCAAAGGATCTCAATCTAAGTGGAACTTGCAAATGGTTTTCATCCCACTGGAATAGCATGTATTGGATAAAGCTTAACACGTTCTGAGATTTTAAAAAAATTTGTTATCTCAGAGATTTTAGGAAAATCTATAAATGGCCATGTTTTTATAAATGTGACAATATCCCTAATATCTTAAAACTAGATATGTATTTTTTTCTCAGAAGTTGAGAGTTTAAAAATTAAAGATAGCATAACTTACTCAATTATTTAGTGATGTAAGGAAAGAATATAAGTGGGACTTTTTAATCATGCATTGAACAGTTTTCTGAAAGAATTTTTTTTCATAATTTTCTAATCTCATTATGATGTGGCCTTCTTTATTAGAAGAATGTGTGATAAAGTGTCAGCTTTTTCTAAAGTAGTAATATAATCCTGTGGGTTTCATCACAGCTTTCTTTTTCATAGTATGATTCTTTTATTTTTTTAATTAGAAAATACTTTATAGAAGAGAAAATTTCAACACTATGTTGGCCCTTTAGATTAGCTCTCCCATTGTAAGTTTTTCTTTTACCAGAAGAGAAATTGCATGCTACAAAAAAATGGGATGGATACTTTTACTTGTTGGGAAAACTTGACTTTAAAGGTAGTGCAAGAGCTAGTTAATGAGTTTAGTTTTTCCTAGGGAGATTATTTGTGAGGATGGTTTTACTACTCTTCTCAACTCTGTTTACAGGAGAGTTGTCCTGTTTCAAACTTTTAATTTCTTTGTGTGCTAGGCAGATGATATATTGTTATTAGTATAAACATTATTAGGATAAACATACAAAATATCATAAACATGCTAGTTGTATGTGTATGTCAGGTATCTGTTCAAAGTGTTTTTTAGTTATGGTAACTAAAATCTCACCTCTTAAAGATTTAGAGAAAATATGGAAGGGGGGGAATCAAAATAATCAGATTCGTTTGTATTTTTGCCTAAAACCAGATTTGGGGAAAAGTAAACAGTGTAATCACAAGACTAAAATGCCAGCATATAAAGGTAGCTGAGTATTATGTACCTGCTTTTGAAAGGAATTGGTGAATGAGGTAGGGAAAATGATGACTGAATTTTGAAAGTTGCTATAGATTGAAATATCAAAGCATTCTTTAGCAGCAACAAACAGATACATTGTCAGTAAGCCAAATATCTGAAATTTCTAAGTG